ACTGGCCTTCCTCTGCGGTGTAGGATATTGTGTATATTGGGAGCGAGTCGTCTGGTGCCTTCTTACATGTTTGTTGGCCGTGTGACATGGGAAGGGGAGCTAGTTGATTTGTAACACCCTTGAGCACCCACGGGGGATACCCTTACACTTGACCCCCCTAATGTCGGGTCAAGTCTGGCTTTCCTTGCGATGTAAGCTGTGGTCTGACAACCCATCACTACAGTAAAGGAGGAACACTACTCCTGCTGCAGTGAACTAGGAGGGAAGTATTTGTGGCATTTCACTCCAGAGAAAGATGACATCAGGAAACCAGCTGAGATAGTGGCAGATAACATTGTGAACTGGCTCAGAGAGAGGAACATAGACCAGACCCTGCAGGCCATTGGAGGGGACAGCACCAACACGAACACAGGGTGGCAAGGGGGGTCATACAGTGGATAGAGCGGAAGATTGGGAGGAAGCTGGTCTGGATTGTTTGTGACCTCCACACCAACGAGTTGCCACTCAGACATCTGATCCAGGAGCTGGATGGCAAGACTCTTTCAAACAACAGATGGTCTGGTCCTCTTGGCAAGATGCTGGACTCTGCCACTGAGTTAGAAATAAATCCGAGCTTTGAAAAATCACAGTTGGCCCTTCCCACCTGCTGAGAGCTTCTGCACATACTGTCATTGACGACCTGAGTACTGACCAGTACTATGGTTACATGATTTGCAGTGCCATCAAAACTGGGGTCATGCCTGATAGACTTGCTACCTGCAGATAGGTCCAGTCTCACATTCTAGGGTGGTCTACAACGGCTCTCAGGTTTGCAGAATTAGTAGCTCAATGCAAACTGAAAGGAACCAGCTTCACAACCTGAGACTTATTGTCCACCCATCGTGAGTGTCTACTTGCCAAACACCCAACACCAAGGTCAAGCCAATGCCTCCGAAGGTCCGAGGCATGTTCTCTTCCAGCTTGAGCCCTGAGGAGTCAGCCAAGGAAGGTTGTTCAGATTGTGGAGCAGACTGTGAGGAGATCTTCCTGGTATGCTCATCCTGAGGCAGTTCTGCAGACAATGCTCTGCAGTAAGGATGAGGAGGAGAGAAGAGTGGCAGTCAAAAAGATCTTGGATATGAGACTTATGAGAGGATCTGGGCATGACGAATCAGTTGGTGACGATTCCTTCAGGGTCAGGAAGACTCCTGAAGTCAATCTAGGTGCCAAGACCCTCACTGATCTCATAGATCTGGATAACATCCAGGCTGGCAGTGAGCCCCTTCTTACCTGCAGCCTCACCAATGTTCAAGTCAGAGCTTTCCTGGACAACCCCATGCATGTCCCTGCCTGGCCCTCACACCCAGAGTATAGAGCGTTGTGTACAGCAAGTGAGCGAGGCCAGCAGTCACGTGTACAGCCAGGAGAGGAGGGAAGGCTACATCCGAGCTCAGGTGGTCAGCAGGGAGGTGATGAGTAGAAACAGAAGCAAGAAAGACATGTGGTGTTTGTATTTGATGATTTTTGTTTTCTAAAGGAATATTAAATTTAATAAATGTGTCAAGATCATTCGTTTCACTATTCTGGATCATTTTCATCCTAATAAATTAACCTGATACATTTACTTTACTTTAAATAAGCTATTTAGTGGTGTTGGTAAAAGGGTGGGAATACTGAATTTTCATAAGATTTCAAGTTAAAATTTACCTAGCAAAAAATAAAAACTTTTCAAATCTGATGATATCACATGATTCTGCACATAGAACTACATCATTAATACCATGGGCCGATTTTTCAAACTCAAAAAAAAAAATTCGCCTCCGTATGACACACCCTACTACTACATGGCCGCCATCAGATCGCTGGTAGATTACAGTGCTCCAGCACTCATTGGACTGAGAGAAGACCAGATAGCTAAGGTAGAAGTTATCCAAAATAATGCTTTCAGGAACATGCTTGGAGCACCCACGTGGACCAGAATTTGCAATTTGTAAATGGAAACTGAACTACCACCCCTGGCAGTACGAGTAGATCAGATAAGCCCACAGCTGCCAAAACGCGAATGAGCGCATCCCTCCACCTCGATAATAGAGTGTGAAGGGCCACCTGGTCGTACGAGGCAAGCGAGGTCATCCAACACTTGCAAGCAGAAACACTCGTCAAGAACAACCAAGACATACGAGACAATGGTTACGTAGCTCTTCCACCATGGAGCCCTCCACCAGCCACATTTAAAATTACCTAACTAGGTGATAGCAAAGCCATCCTCCAGAAGGAGGACCTCAAAATAATAACCCTGGAAGCCATAGCCACCGAGACACCGGCTGATGCAGCATCATACTTCACAGACGGCGCGGTGGATCCAAAACATCATACAACCGGAGCGGCCTTCTACACCCAAGGTCAGACCCTCCGATGGAGACTTTCTAATGACTGCTCCACCCTACAAACAGAGTTGGTAGCAATCTCAAAGGCCCTACAACACGCTGCAACACAACACAACAATTCCATCATAATTTACACGGACTCGAAAACGGCCATGCAGGCGCTGCAACACAGTCAACCAAGAGACAACGTCCACATCATAACCTTGATCCTCGCACAGCTACAGGACTTCCAAAGACAAAATAGCCCAGTCGTCTTACACTGGATTCCTAGTCATGTACGGATCGGGGGAAATGACATGGCAGACGAAGCAGCCAAGGCTGCCACACGTTCTAGAAGCGTACACATTCAAGTTCCAGCAAGCGTGCAACAGATCAAGAATCACCTCAGAAAGACTACCAAGCTCCACATCCAAAAGAGCTTCCTTCACGCATTCAACGCTGGTTCCCAATCACCCAAATGGTACCTGGCGGCTACAAAAGGGGAACCACCTTTCGCGGACAAGAAAACACCAAGACAAACCCAAGTTAGCCTTCATCGACTACGACTAGGGTACAAGTGCTCCAGGCAGACGATCGGAAATGTCGTCAGGGAATGCACCTACTGTCAGGAGCCAGCGGCCAACCCACTGGAACACTATCTCCTCGACTGCGAAGTCACACAAAGTCTCCGAAACAGAATTCAAAACTTCTAAAAAGAACACACAACACTAGCGGCCACTCTAACCCGAAAGGCCAAAACAAACCACATTCACCACCTTCTCCGGGTCATCACACGATACCCACCACCCAGATAGCTTAGGAAGTATCCTCCCCCAGCAAGTGCGGACCCCAGTTCGGGGGGCGCGCCACTCCGAAACTGACTACGTCCAAGAGTAGGGGTTGGTGGTAAGCGTTCACTGACCGAGGGTCCGCTCACACTTGCAACCTGCAGTATCCTTTCATACCTGCAGGTAGGACAACCTCCAATCCCAAATCCGGTCTGGCTGCTCCAGGAGCTCCAGCCGGAACCACCAAACGGGCCGCCCACAGGCAAAGGCCCGTGTCGGACTCTGATCCGACAATCTCAACAACAACACAACAACATTACTGCCCTCCGGGCGGCTCTTTCGGTAGGCCACTGTAGGACGCCACCCTCCGGGAGGCTCCACATTGTCTCACTGTAGTGCATTAAGGTGTCTTCTTTGAGCCTGACTTTGTACTCGTCAGAAGGCATGTTTTCCAGGGCATTTTTAAATGACTGTATATACTTGTTGCGCTCATGCAGCATTTCTTGGATAGATAGGACAATGTCATGTCTGACACCTTGAATGTTGCCACACCTGATAGTAGTCTGCTTTTCATGATCTTCCATGAAGTAGATTCAGAGAGCAAAGGCTATCTTAACATTTGTAACAATTCTCAGATTGTATGAAATATTACCATCTGCCATGAAAAACTCTGGTGCGTGTTTTCAGCGGTTAGTAAATGAAGTACTGTGTGGTATTGAAGCTTGCTCTGTATTTATATATGTATATTATATGTTGTATTTTAAGGAGTAGAAGAATAATTTGTTACTTATCAAAACAGTGTTTAGCAATTTAGATAAAGCTATCCTTGCTGAAAATTTGATGAAGAATTATTTTGTAAAAGGTCAAGTTAAATATTTAAGTTATGTGATAGGTCAAGGAAAGATGAAACTAATGGATACCAAGGATGAGAGTATTGTAAAGTTTCCTAATCCCGAGAGTAGAAAGGAGTTGTTAAGATTTCAGTGGATGACCGGGTATATAGGAAATTATGCAAAAAAAAAAAATCGCACTGTGGCATGGCCTTTGCCCAGACTGTTGTCCATTGTGAGAATGCTTTAACTAAAATTGAGAAAACCTTGATTAATGCCCCAGTTTTTTTAACTCCAAATTATGAAAAACCATTTAAGTTATATGTTGATGCAAGTGAAGTTGGAGTGTGGGCGGTGTAAGAGAGGCAGGGTATTGATCAACCATTATGGTATTTTTCAAAGACATTTTTCTCATACCAGAAGAAGTATGGTACCACTGAGAAGGAAACTCTAGCTTTGATTTTGAGTCCGAACAATTTGGATGTTTATTTGTGGGACTCTGGAACCCCAGATCTAGTGTTTACAGATCGTAATCCTTCAGTATTTTTGCAAAAACTAAAGAATGCATATCAGCATCTTACATGCTGGAGTTTAATGTTACAAGATTATAATTTAGTTGTTCAGCATAATAACGGGTAAAGAAAATAACGCAGCAGACATTTTGCCTCGCATTCCACTCAGATATGAGCCAACCTGGGGGATAACTTATGCCTCTTTTGGGAGGGGAATGTTACATATGCCTGTGTATTTTCATTGTATTAAGATGAATGTTTTTATATTCATTTTGTATCAGTCACCATTGTGAGTGTGGTTTTCAATTAAGTAAATACTAAAGCTGTATTTGCTTTCTAGTAATTAGTTTATTTTTTGGATTGTATATAAGTGATATTGTTTCTGTATAACTTCTTATGTTTTGTAATCGTATAATAATATGTACTTACATAGAGAAGCTTTAAATTCTGAATAATCTAATTGTAAAGATGTATTTCTTTTGGCTCTGCTCTCTCTCTTCATCACGGGTACCATAGAATAGATGTAAGATCAGGAAAATGACTTTAATCTTATTCCAACCAGCGTTCATATTGTGTTTTGGCGTTTGTTTACCCATTAGTATTATGAGTGAAGATTAGGTAGGATTTATGTGGATAAATTACTAAATTACACGGGTCAGAGGACCGTGAAGTATTATTGTCTGTTCTCTTGTGTTACTGTAAACACAATATTTTTTTTTAGAGTAAGTTTGATAAATAGGTCATAGGAGTTGAGGCACCTCTGAGAAAAGAGTTATTCAGTAATGGCCAAAATAATATATATGTGTGTGTGAGTGTGTGTGTGTATGTGTGTTTATTCTCTACACAGCATCAGTGAGTGAGCGTGTGTGGGTGTACCGGCGGTGTCTGTACTGCAACAACGGGGAGGCGGACGTCCAACTTATCCACCAGTATAATATTACCTCAGTTCCTCAGCCTTATGACAACCTCTTCACAGGTGAGGTATCGTAAATATTCCGCACCTATATTGTGGGATATTTTTCATGTTTTTTTTTATAAAGTCATGTATTAATTATAACACAGGGAGAATATGAACCATATTCTACACCGGAAACTGCGTATATTAATACATTAAATAGACATTATTTTGATTTATAATTACACAAATTATTTTCCATATTCTTTGTAAATACATCGATTCTTACAAGTACTTTACGTCACCAGAACAAGTGAAAACCTTGAGGGGTCGAAAACTGAGGATCGTGTCAGTGCCTTACTTCCCTTATATGGACTTTGAACGTCGCACCGAGGAGCCCGGCGGCATCATCAACCCAAAGGACTCTATAGATACTCGTTTGATTTATGCCTTTGCGTCAGCACTTAATTTTACGTAAGTGTTTTCGTTTTTTCTTACCATTAAATCTATTTCTGTGAATAAATTATTATTTATCTTTTATGGAATGTGGAAACATTATCTAATAAAATATTTAAATTAATGTAACAAGGACGAGCTGAGGAATAAGACTGCCTGGAGTTATCGCGGTTTTTGACATACACATGTGCACTCCAAGGGTGTCTTCAAATTATTGTTGTCAACCTTATAAATTTATAGGATATGTTATTTCATACAATAATAATTATAAAATATTTTTTGATGATGAGCTGTAGAGGTAATCAGTAAACACAAAACAGGGGCCTCGGTGCACTCTACGAAGCAATAAATACATGTTCGTCTCTATCTCTTCAACAGTTTCGAGATACGCGAGGAACCTGAACGAACATGGGGCTTGGAGATAAATGGCAGTTTTACCGGGATGATAGGTCAGCTTCAACGTGAGGAGACCGACTTCTGTACCATAGCGGGTCCATCGCCAGAGCGCTTGAAAGTTGTGGAGTATTTAAGGGGGTATCCTTCAGATCTGATGACTGTAACGTCTTTGAAGCCCTCGCTGCTACCACAACACCTGTCGCTTATTAGACCATTTGAAGGTATGATCGTTTTGAAGAGCCACTTGGTCCCGCCTTTGAAAATCACTCTTCGGGGATCTAAAATATGCACAAAACAGCACAGCATAGACATACTACAAACGTCTTCTTCACACACACAAATTCCAGAAACAGTAATATACCAAGTTTGTGCCCCTTATATAACCACCTAATAAAGGTTACATAGATGAGAGCAATTCTTAGTAATCATGTGAATGTGATGTTATATTATCCAAATGTAAAATACAATTTCATAATTTTCTACCAGAGTGATTATATTACGATTTTCTTTGTGTCTTTGAATGGTTGTTCGGTGTCGATTGCATTCTAAGCATCTAAGAATATCGGGACTCATCTACACCATCCAACAGGAGAACTTTGGTTAGCGCTTATGGTGAGCGTGGTGGCGTGGGGTGGGGTTATGTGGATACTGCAGAGGACATGGCGGTGGTTCGCAGGCGGTCGTCGTGTAGATTTCAGCACCACACTCTTGTATGGCTGGGGCGCTCTTCTGGAGCAGCCTCCCCCAGTTCTGTCTGTCAGTAATTCAGGAAGGGTAAGACACATATGAGGTTCTACTGATTCCTTATGTTTCCTGAAGTTAATACATTTTGATAAGCCCTTAATCTTGTTTGAGCTAGTAGCGTAGTGTACCAAGCGTTACGTACATTAATGGTGACTATGTGATTAATAATTTAAAGTTATACTGAGCTCATGAGTGTTGGGGTGATGGTGCTTGTCTGGCAATAATCATCTTGCCACAATCGTCATATTATTTACAGCTGTTGGTGGGTTGGTGGCTGGTGTTCTGCCTGGTCATCACCACGGGCTTCCGCTCATCACTAGTCGCGCACATGACAGTCCAGGGGAAGACGCTGCCTATTGAGACCTTCGAGGACATGGTGAAACAAGACAACTGGAAGTGGTGTACTGAGCCCTGGCTACTTAAAGGCATGCTGTTTGATTATTTTTCCAAACACACCGACCCTGTAGTGCAGAAGCTGTACAAGCATATGGAGGTTTGTTCAGACACATTTATTACATATTTACCAACTTGAGATACGATAGAGATGATTTACATCAAAAAGACTTTGTGCAAAAACCTTAGCCACACATTCAAGCATACGCCAGCATGCAGCAAAGTCCATTTTTATATTGGTAAGTTTAAAGAGGGAAATTCGTAATGGAGTTATGGAGTTAATCATTGTTAAGAGCTCTTAATGCCATGGACCACAGATGCTTGTGGCAGACGAAGCCCTGGAGAGGGTACTGGAGGGCGGCTTCACACTAGTGGACTTTGAGAACTATGTTAACATTATCGTGGCCTCTCGCTATACCGACGCCCGTGGCTACAACCCTTTCTACGTCAGTAAGAAAGGCGTCTCCGTCATGGCTGCCTTTGGATGGGGCATGAGGTAGGTATCTGGTTCCTTTCTTCTCCTTTTGTGTTTTCTTTCTTTTGTCTTGTCATCTATTTCCTTATTTCCTCTTCTTCTTCCACTTTATTCTGTAGAATTACAAAGAAAGAAATAAGGACAAATAATCGTTTCCAGAGGATTTCATGAGGTTCCACATATTTCCGAGTGTTCTAAGAGTTTCCAAATTTTTCGAAAAGCGACAGATGTTACCTTTGTAAGGTTTGCAAACGTTTCCAAGAGAACCAAAACCCAAACCTAATTTCCTCTTAGCATATACAGGGTATATATATATATATATATATATATATATATATATATATATATATATATATATATATATATATATATATATATATATATATATATATATATATATATATATATATGTGTGTGTGTGTGTGTGTGTGTGTGTGTACTGGCTGAGTTACAAGATTTATTCCAGTGAAGGGAAAATTATTTACAGTGCATTACCATCCTCTAGGTTATCCGCACTTCCCTACCAAACTTCAGCCCTGTACCTTGAAAACTGCTAATCTACATCAATTTAAATATTAGCGGAATGAAATGGATCCCAGAAACTTGTTATCATCAGCGAAAAACATAAATGAAAAGAGCGTAAAAATGGATTATTCTGGTTTGCATTTCATAAGTCACAGTTTTCACCTTTTTTACTATTGTTTTCAGGAGAGGGGCACCATTCTATCCTCGGTTTAAACAGTTGAAATCACGGCTGGAAGACACTGGTATTATAAGTTACTGGATTGAGGATGTGATCGCCAGGCGCGTGAGGGAGAACAGGGCAGCTGCAGCTATGGACGTCAGATCTGCCAAAACAGACACAACACAGGCAAACATTACCATCTGTTCCCGTGCTACTTTTTAGTTATATACGAGTATAACACAAACACTTTCGAATGCAAAACTGTAAACAAAATTTTTGTATACGTGTTTGTATATGGTTCTCTCAACATAAGAGGAATATTGTTTAAACTTTCTTTGGATAGGATGGGGTTGTAGGGGAAGGTAGAACTCAAACTTCCAAATATTTCAGTTGGAAGCATTATTGCTAATTTTCATTATTAATTGTCATGCTAAATGAGTCTTTTGGTCGTAGGAACAATACATATTTATTAAACGAAGAATTAGATACCAAAGTAAGTTATGTAGTCTGATGAAATTTTAAGTGGGAAATTTAAGAGTACATTTCTTTTATCGCCTATTACCAACATACAACAGATGTGCGATAATGCTACAAAAGAAGTTTGCCGAGCTTCATGCAAACGAAAATTAGATTTTCATATTAACATAACGAGGAACATATCTATTCCCCAGGACGACAACAAGGTGCCGCTTGGACTACACCACATGCAAGGTGCCTTCTATCTGTTGTTTCTGGGCTACGTGGTCGCCTTACTCATCCTATTCGGGGAGACCATCTCCCACAACTCAGATCCTCGCATCAGTACCACTTTTCTTACCACTAACAAAACCTGAGGCCAGGTCTTGAAGGTTCAGGAGACATGGAAGCTGTGAAAACAAGGATTTTTTTTTATATATAATATTGGTATGAGGTACAATCAAATCAATTGAAATTGAGATGTAGTTGAATTTCTGCGATGGAATATGATCTTGACTGAAAGGAGTCGGAAGCAGGTCTTTAAGTTATCTTCTCTTGTCATCAAACTTAATTTTCTTCCTTATTTCCTTTATTTTGAGCAGTTTGTCTAATCATTATTCTGTAGTATTAATAAATATAACAAATGATTTACATATTTCAACTGCTCATTAATACATCTTTAGCATCGTCAAGCAACTGTTCGGACACAGTAGTTGTATCAAGTCCTTAACGACTGCACTCAGTTTGTAGTTAAATGAGGAACTTTTGCCTTTGATTATTGAATGTGAGAGTAAGGTCAGTAATCACTTAAGGAAACTTAAGGTCGAAAAATATTTCTCAAAGAACACATAGACTATTCAAAATTATTCATATATGGGGCTCGCTCATACATAATTTATCGACTTGATAAAACTGTCCAACTCGCCTAATTCTCTGTGCTATACTATAGGAACCTCTGACAAAAATTATCGAAATGTCTGGTCATCCTCTTAAACGGAAGGTTAAGGATACGTTTATCAGCAAACTAAATATTCAATAAAGGCCTACCAACTATGTTACAGCTTCATTTGACTCTAAATCATTGTATACGAATATTTCATTCGTGGTGAAACTATTGATATGTGAATACATGAACTTTTCAAGAGTAAGTACTTGTTCAGTGTGTTAAGCCAAATGCAGATTCATGAGCTACGATATTTAGCTGCTAAGGGTTGTTTATTTCTGTTTTATGGTGGTGCAGTAATGGGAAGTTCATTTGGACAAACACTCGATGTTTCTTTCTGATCCCACCAGATTCTTCCAAACTAAAACACGAGACAAGATTGAACCAATACAGTCAGATACCTGCGAGCTAACGGATAACGACGGAGGAATGAGCAATAATCTGAACAGTTATTTTTCAAAGTTTTCACCACAGAGAATTTAAACAAGATACCTGAGGTACCGAATATATACAGAGAAAGGAAGAAAATAGATTAAGCTAGATAGTAGTGACCAGTAGGCAGCAATCAAACAGGGGGTACTACCGCCTGAGAAGATATTGTAAGCATAATGTGTTGTCTAATAGATCTTGCTGCTATATGGTATCACGAAAATTGTGAAGTCCCAGGTTGCTCATCTGACTTTCTGCCTCATTTACACACAATTGCAGGGTCCCAAATGTTTCTCTTACTTAATAACACAACATAATATAGCGTTTCTCACTATTTATTTTGTTTTCATTTTTGTATTTCTTTATTTTTTTATTTTTTTTTACGGGAATTAGCCCACCCGGGCACAGGTCAAAAGACCCACAACGGAGCCCGGGGGGCGGAAAAAAAACGGAAAGAAATTGTAAATATAGAAAAAGAGGTTATACTGTATTAATCTACACCGCAAATATGCCGGAAAACCAGCTTTTTAAAGTGAGACAGATTGTAAGAGCATGGAAACACAGAAGAAGGCAAAGCATTCCACAGTTTGGCTGTGTGAGGAAAGAAGGAGGTACTATAACGGGTTATTCTCGGGTTATTCTTTATTAAAATTATTATTACAGTGTTATTATTATTATTATTATCATTATTAATTTATTTTACTTTTTATTATAAAATCTATTTACTATGAATAATTATAAAATTTTTGCCCCCCAGGCCCCGATGTGGGTCAGTGACCTGTGCCCAGGTGGGCTAATCCCCCTATAAAAAAAAAACAAAAAAAACAATGGATCAGTGATTGACCTCACGAGTTTAAACCCTCTTTATACAGAGGATAAGTTGATAACACATTTCTTTTCTTTGATTCTGCTGACTTTTTCCCTTCTTTTTAGAATACATGAACTCCAGACATAACACTGTACAGGTTACATTTCAGAACAAGAGAGAGAAAGCAATATGCCCCTTTTAAATTAATATAAGCGTTGAAAGTCACATACCACCTTTAATAGGTCGACTTATAGAAACCTAACGCATACAGAAGTAACCAATAAATTGGACTCCATCAAGTTTGTCCACTATAAGAGGGATTTGATAACCATAGTCACCAGGGATATTAGCCTGTGCCCAGAATATCCCAATTATTAACCTGTCCTAAATTTAACATCATTGAATTTCATAATTATTTTAAAAGGTGGTTGTTTGTTTGAATTAACACACCTGTGCTTCTTTTGTCTGTACTTTGTTGTTTATTTTTTTACCTCTTAATGTAGAGTGGCTTACTACGAAAACCAAAACGTTAGTAAATAGAGAAAAATAAGTATCAAGATATTCATCTGTGTCCCAGCGTTGGTGTCAATATGGGTTATTAACCCAACCACGCCAAACAATTAAAAACATAAGAACATAAGAAAATAAGGAGTCTGCAATAGACCGGTTGGCCTGTGCATGGCAGCTCCTGTCGAGAGTTACAACCACTCCCTATTGTCCATGAAGCTAGGTCACCGCATTACAGAATGGATATAGAATCCTTGGAAAGAATTCAGAGGAGAATGACAAGACTAATCCCAGGAATTGGGAACCTTAAACACAGAGACAGGAAAAAGCATCTTAATTTACACTCCCTCGGGAGCCGTAGAATGAGGGGCTATATGGTAGAGGTGTATAAATGGATCGCTTTCCTTGGGTACATTTCATAAGACCATGAGAAAATAAG